AATCAAATTAACAATAAATATCTGCTTAAATATTGTACGTTAAGGACTGTCAAACCTGGCGGCGCCTCCTTATACTCGACGCCATCCAATGTATAGCTGACGGCTATTTTAATTTCCTTAAACTCGTCCAAAACATCCAATTTAGTAATCGCTAGACTATTGACAAATCAAACCATAAATATATATGCGTTTAACAATCAATTGCAACGACAATCAGTTAAAACATACGCTGAGTAGCCGTTGATTATATGAGAGTAGCGGAGGAGCACGAGATCCAACCAACCGCACCGTCTCTTGCGTTTAGTGGTGACGCCGACCTCTTTGCCGGTCGTCTGTAAGTAATCGCCCGTTTCGTCCAACAGTTCCGTCGGAAAGGGACCGTCGCCTACGCGAGTGCAGTAGGCTTTGGTCACGCCATACACGTCACCGATATAACGGGGAGGAATGCCGAGACCCGTACACACGCCTCCAACCGTACAGTTGGACGAAGTGACAAATGGATACGTGCCTATCGAGTGGCCATTCATTACATCAGTTATGTTGTCATTAAAATAACAATTAAAACCAATTATGAAATACCAAAATCGATGTCAAGCATCGTGGCGTTGGCGCCTTCAATGAGCACAGACTTTCCGGCCTTCATATTAGTGTTCAAATAGGATACGGTGTCGGTAACACACGGACGGATCTCTTCTGCAAATTGCTGTCAAACCCAATATAAGAGTCCATTAAATGTTAATCCAGGAAAAAATGTCTGTTAAGCGAACATACTTTGAATTTAGTGAGCTCTGTCTCAATCACATCCAGACTCAGGTCCGGGAATTGTGAACGAAAATTAGCCGAAAGAGCGCGGAATCTAAAAGCGAGACATAAGTAAAAACCAAGCGTTAAATTATTGAATATAACATTTAAAAATGTTAATCAATTCTAAGAATTCTAAGTGAAAAATAATGTGAAATGTAGTCAAGAATATTAATGACAAGAGAGAAAAGTTTGTGAAAAACCCATATATTTGAGACGATATTTGGTTTTTATCAAAAACACTGCAAAATATAGATTAAAATCAATCGAAAACCAGTTTTTATGAATAATTGATAGTAAAAATGAATATAAAACCCAATGTCTGGTCAGATAAGGGGATCACTTGATAACTCACTTCTCTTCGAACAAAGAGAAATCTCCCATCAGGTCTGCCATTCGGATGCCGATCCGACCCGCCTTCAAATGATAGCACAACTCAACGCACATTTAATCATTAAATAAGCCTAAAATGACAATACCTTTGTCGCATATGTCGGTCCGATTCCCTTCTTCGTCGTCCCGATTGTCTTCTTTCCTCTGCCCTTCTCTTGTAAGCCATCGACCGCTTGATGGAAATCAAACACTATTTTTTCACAATTAAAGTCAATCATCAGTGAATATAGTGATCAGAGAGACAGTGGGAGAGACACCGCATACCTAAGTGAGCCCTGTCTGAGACGAGGAGCCGTTTCTTCCAATTTGACAGACCTTTGCCCTCATTCTTGCGGATCTCGTCAAAGAATTGCGACAAATG